CGCCGCGGCTTGAGCGGCTGCTGCAGCTTGGGCGGTGGCAGCCTGTTGCTGCATCTGACGGTGACATTGGCGTAAATCGAATACCTTGAAATTGTTTTTTTTAAAAAGGAGGAAAAAGAAAAATTATCAAATTACAAAAGCCACAAAGGAAAGATTCTCTCAACCCCCAACCTCAATAATCTGTGAAATCCCAGGATTTGCGGGCGAATAAAACCGGGAGGTGAGTCCCGCTTAACTTTCTCAGATTTGATTCTTTACCAAAATGTGTTTTTAAAAAAAAAAATAGATCCCAATTGTCTCTAGGCCTAAAGTTTCCGCAGCCAAGTTTTGGGTTGTCGGATTATTTTTCCCCTCCTCGAACCAACCTTTATGTAGGCGCTGGGGTAAATCTTGTGAACGGCGTCGCCCGGCGCGCGCCCGGCTTCTCGATCCAGGTAGTAGCTCTGCACGAAGACGGCGTGGTCGCTCAGGCATCGCACCCACACGTCGCCTTCGCCTTTGCACTCCAGCTGCACCCCTTTCCCTATGTGCAACCTTGCGAAGAAAATCCCGAAAGAAACCCACCATCAATCGGATTTTTGCGCAGCGGAGTCGCGCGATGCGTTAATTTACACACCGCTCAAGTTAGGCAAGATGGGTAAAGTCAAAAAAAAAATAAAGAGCTGGAGTTTTTGGGGATACCTCGCTCTCTCGATGGCTTCTGTTCGATGCACGTTGGAAAGTTGGCCGAGGCAAAAGCGATCTCCTCCGGAAGGATCCACGTAACCGTCGACGGTAACGATGGGACAGCTCGAAGGGACCTTAAACGTTTCGCCGACTTGCACGTCCATTTCGAAATAGGCGATGGAACACCAATATTCCGGAGCTTGGAGAACAGATCAAGAATTAAGCGAGCGCGGGGCTCGTAAAACGCAATTTGAGGAATTTAGGATTGAGGACGTCGCGAATTCGGACGCCCCCGGGGTAGGAAGCGGCCGGGTGTGGGTTTGAAAACCACGATTTTCGACTCGGACAACTAAATTAAAGTTAGTTCAGGGAGTATTAGTTCACTATTTCAAAAGAGAGGCCCGAATTTGAAAGATGAGCTATCACAAACTGGTTCCTCTCCTTCTTTCCCCTCCTTTTTTGAACACGTAATTTGGAAATTTCAGAGCACTCGCTACACAAAATCATCAGACTCAAAACACAAAGTTATTTGCGTTAGACTTTACTCACCAGGATGATTTGATATAGGCGGCTGGAATGCAAGTTCATTGTGAACTGGCCCTTGAAAAGAAAACAATTCGTTTTACACGAGGGGAAAAATAAGATTTTTCTTCCTTAACTTGTTTTCCTATAAAAAAAAAGACCCGTGAGGATGCCAGATGTTATAAATCCCGGTAATTTCTGAATCGATTGGCCAAATCTGACAGGGGAGAAAAACGTCTGTGGAAAAATTCACTCTAAAAATTCAGGAGTAAAGCCCAAAATCTCTGTTAGTATCCCAGGAGGAAAGGTTGAGCGTTGCTCAACAGGAGGGAGCAGAAACCAGACAGACGTAACAGAAACAGGACACGGAGACGTAACAGAAACAGGATTCGGGCTTCACACCTGCCCCCAAGTCGGGCAAGAATCTTTTAGAGGGATAGAAAAAGTGTCCAAAATCCTGGTTCATTAATTTCAGCGATCACACAGCAAGTTGCCTGGCGTGCCGTGGACTCCACCGTTAAGAAATACGCCCCGAAGACGGAAAAAAGCGCTAAAATAACTCTTTTTCTAAAGAAAATAAAACCGAATACGCTCTTAGTATCGGTCACGCATCTTCTCAAGCTCAACGCGGATCGTTAAGAGGTAACGTAAAATTTTCAAAAAAATTTCAACGGCCAGGAAGCTCCAAGTTTCGAAAGAAAATAAAACTCTCCAAACGATGCATCCCGAAAATCAACTTTCTCTCCCGCAGAGGAAATATTTACGAAGCACTAAGGGCGGGTTTCGAAAGGAAACGTTGCTTTTGCGAGGTACGATTCTGAATTTCCACCGTATTTCTCGATTTTTCTATCTCGAATTTGGAATTTTGAATATCTGCGGCTTTAACGGAGGGAAAATCCGTCGAGCACTTGCTCTTGGATGATCTTTCGAGGTGCCTTTCGACCCTGAACCTTCTGTGTGTGATTGAACTGGAAGAACAGAGCGAACGCAGTGACGGCGGCTCGATAAATAATAAAAAAAATTCGGAAAGCCGGGCTACTCACAGTAATGTCCGGGGTGCATGGGTGGATGATGCTGAAGATGCCCGTTCTGGTGGTGAGGTATGGTAGGCGTGTAAGCCGCCGTCCGACTTCCAGTCCAAGTTGTAGTACTATCTAGAATTTAAAAAAAAAAGAAGGAAAAAGAAAGAAGCGGTTTTAAAGGGAGTTTTTCCGCGTCTCCCTTCGAATCCTGACCGTTTCGGAACCCGGATTTAAAAAAAAAACCACTAAAAGAACACGCTACCTCTTGAGGAACGTGCCAAAATTTTCATTAAAATGAGAGCTGAGCTAATTGGGGAGGAAAACACACCCAACTATGGCCACTCGGTTTCTAGAATATTTGTATTTTTTATTTTTTTTCCTGGGCAACTCAAAGCGAGACGCTCCACGTGGGCTAATTTCGACTTGAATGTCGAAACTCGGATTTATCGACCGCGTGTTTCGTTCCCATCTCCGTTTTTCAGGTCCAACGGCAAGACGTCGCAATTTTCAATCAAATAACCGGAGTAGATTCGGTGAAAATCCAACCAGGCCAACAGCAGGTCCAATAAAACTTAAAATTCCTGTTCCTGAGGAGGACACTTGCTCCAATTTCTCCTCCAAAACATACCAAACAGTATTTTATTTTTTAAAACAGTGCCTGCATCCATCACTGGCCTCCTGCCTGAGAAAGCTGCTGATTTGGGGTATTTTTTTTCTCTTCCTACCAAATAAATACTTCAAGACTCACCTAAACTTTCAAGTCAAACTACAGGTATTTCAGAACGGGTGAACAGAACTGGCTTTTCAAAGGTTTCAGCTCAGCCAACTGATAATCAGGTTCCCAAGTCCTCTTGCACTCTCAAACCGGCGTGGCTAACAGAATTTAACGCCCAGAAATCTCAAAGGGAAACCTAAAAATGAGTTTTTTACTTTTTTTTCCCCGTCTACTTGGCTCCACTGACAAAAAATTATTGACTATGAATCGTGCAAAGGCAATGCAATTAAATCACCCCTCCTTTTTTATATCTGCTGGTGACAAATGTCAGCTTGGCCAAAAAAAACCCCATAGTTCGAGGCAAAAAGTTTGTCAGCCAAAATTAAAAAACATGTTTTTGATCACGGAGTGACGAAGCGGATGTGAAATCCCTCCGAGCTTCACGACCTTGTGTACGTATCCTGCCGGAGCGAAGCGTGAGGTTTGACGTGGGCGAACGCTTCCTCTCGTACCAAACACGTCCAGGAAAGTACGAAAAATTGGAAATATTAATTGATTCACTCCTTTTGTCACGAACGAATTGTCCCAAAACCTCTCGATGCCGCCGTTCGTCGTGCCGCTCGTTATCGTAACCGAAAAAATAAATTAAAATTCTTCCATTCCTAGAGAAATTATTCCAACAACGGTCACGGCGGTTAATTGGTTTAAGAGTGTATCATGAACCAAAAAGATCTTGTAACGCTTTGTACAGCGTCAGCGTCACCGAGCAAAACCTGGGACACGGGGACAAGTTACGTTATTGCGGAGGGACCCGGACAGGCTGAGTCGATGGGCCAACGGGATGAAGTTCAACAGGGTCCTACGCTTTGGCCACGATAACCCAACGCGGGGCTACGGACTGGGAGACGAGCGGCTGGAGGGTGACCCAGCGGAAGAGGGATCTCGGTTGAGAACCGGTTGATGAACACGAGCCAGCAGGGTGCGTCCAGGTGGCCGGACGGCATCGTGGCTTGTATCAGGGCTAGCGTGGCCGGCGGGAGCGGGGATGTAATTCTGCCCCATCTTTTCCAACCTCAACTATTCGGCGATTCCAAGTTAAAACCTTACGTTAACGCTTCCGAGCCCGTACCACCGCCCCGCTTGGGTTGTAACGCAACATCTACATCGGAAAAAAAAACAAAAAAAACCACCAAACTATATTTGAGCTTCCGCGTTGGGTATTTCTGGGTATATCTTACTTGTCGAAGCCACAGGAATGTTGGGAAAATTAGTGGTGCTGGTAGTGCTGGCCTCGGTGGGAGCTAACATGGCCGGGGTGCTGTAAGGTTCCGTAGACGCCCGGTTACTCGGCGGATGTTGGATGGTCTGGACCGAATGGCCTTCGGCAGAAGACAACGACGGCTGCCCCTCGTAGTCGTGAACGTATTCGTCTTTCACCAACATGCTTGACGGAGCTGCGGAGGAGCCGACGGTTAAAAAAAAAAAAGCACTTTTTAGGGAGTTAACGCTGCTTTCGAGCCGTAACGATGCGACTCAAACTATTATTACCAATAATTCAAGGAAATGTCGAAACGTAACGGGGTGGAAAAGCAAACTTTATTTTGCTGCTATCAGACACGAGGTTTGCACACTCCAACAGCATTTAAGGGTTGGACTAGACGATCTTTCAAGGTTCCTTATAATCCCTAACGACCTACGATTCCATGGTTTCGTTTTCTAGTCCGTCAAGCGACAGGACACGGTTAATAAAAAGGAAAAATATACTTTTTGCCAAGCTTTTAACTATATGTTCACATAGTAACTAATCAATCAACTCCTAGGATATGAGGAAGAACGTACATAAAGCTCCAAAAAACCTAATTCGTGAGCGCAACGTAAAGAATTTCAGGTGTCTTGGAGCAACCCCCATCCAAACCGATTAGAAACGTCAAATTTGCGTTCAAAGACAATCTAACGCTAAAAAAAAAAGTTGCGACTAATATAAAATATTTCACGTAGGGCTTAAGGACCATGAGAATTTATTTCTCTGCAAGCTACGTTCAAGTAAAATTCGTGCGCTCCGTTAGTTCCCACGCTCAGTTTTAAAGCGGCCTTAAAATATATTCAAATTTGTGGGTAATTTGCTGTTTCCTGCTGCAAAACCAGTAGCAGGACGAGGAAACATTTATTAAGTATTTAACTGCCGGCGAGCAAAGCTTTGATTCTGTACAAAAAAGATTTTTATTTTATTTTTTTTTTCCCAGAAGACGTAAATTAGCGGAGGTGAGCGCACAAGTTCAAGCTTGTGAAGTTCGTTTGTCGGGTCGTTTGGGGTTAAGTCATTTTTTTTTTTCCTCGAATATTTCTAATAAGGTGCCGAAACGATCGGATTATGCAAATTTCCTTCTCTACGAATTCCTTCTGGAAAGGAAAAAAAATCAAAATGAAAAAAAATAAGTTTTGAAATAAAGCTGCACAATCTCAGATTTCTGAATAATGTTCATTTCATATTTAATTTCCAATTACTCTCACGTTTCAGCGAGAGCAAGAATGTTCGACCGGCTTCGTTCGACCGCATATTAATGACCGAATTATTATTTCCTTATCGAGCTACTTCTTAAATCGTTAGCACCTACAATTCTCAAGTTAATTAATTAGTACATCACACAGGTGCACAAGTTCTTGGGGGTTCAGATAGTTTGGTTTAGGGTTTTTTTTGTTTTTTTTTTTTAAATTATCAGCAATCCACGGCGAGGCTTTTATTTTCCTATTTATTTTTTATTTTTATTTTTACTTTTGTTGGGGTTTCCAACGGAAACCGAACATACCCACGACCTGAGCCGAAGCCTCAATTTCGAGCATTTATCAAGTTTTTCCTCTCGTGAGCTCCTCGAAAGCAAGAGAGGGCAAATTTCCACCCGCTCTCTACGTTCCCTTCCTGAGGGTTCAAGGGGCGAGCGTCAACGCGGGTCGCGCCCGCGGCAACGCCAACGAGAACTACTCACCGGAACTCTGTAGTGTCAGTCCTGAGAGATCTTTAAAAAAAAAAAAGAAGAAAAAGAGGGTGTGGAGGATTACGGACGTCAAGAACTTCAATAAAGTTGGAACGTTCAAGTTTATAAACTTTTACGGATTAGTAGGAGCACCCCCCCCGCCCTCACAACACAAGTTACTCCTCGGGTACACACGGAGTGTAAGAACCGCCCGCGAAGCCAACGGAAAGACTTAAACGAAAGCCACGAAGCGTTTGGACTGTAAATAAAATATTCCATTAAGAAGCCAGGCAAGAGCATCCAAAAATAATTTACAATGAGATGATGAAAAGTTAAGTTTTCTAATTCAGGGCTTGTCTTTTCTAGGCTTAAAAAAAGGAAAATGTTTCCCGTTTTCTTCCCACCTTTGGAAAAGGAGAGGGTACTTACCGATGCCAGGCGATACTACGCGCTCATAATGGTAAGGATTTACACAGACACTGTCACATTTTAAGTCAAAAGCATACTGACAATATTTAACATGCTTGAGTTCGTTTTTATGAAGATCAGGCCACCTCCAAAGACGAGCGTAAATCACGTGAGGGAATCCCTTGCGACCGGCCACCTAAAAAGTCAGACACAAAAGGCGATTGGGAAAAGGAGCGAAGCATTTCCGTTTGTGTTAAGAGCAAAGGTGGAAGGGGACAAAGGACACAACCTCTCTCCACCATCCAAATGTGAAAAGGAAAATCATAAAAAATGAAAAAAAAAAAAATAAAAAATCAGGTGGCGTCCAGTTTACCCACATTCTGCGCTCAACAGACATGAATTTCTGGGAGGGATGAGCTACGGTTAAGTCAACGCTTGTGATTCTGAAGCCAAAAAAAACCCAACAAAACCTCGATACAAAGTGGCAGAAGCAGAATTTTGTGCTTAACGTGGTACGTATGGTCACCGTCCCCACCGTGGATGATGCCCCAGAAGAAGAGGAACGAGGCGCTAAGCTAAGCTAGAAGGAATTTCCCGGTAGAAGGATGCCAATCCGTTAGACTGGAAAAAAAATAAAAGAAAAGAAATGCTTCTAGGGTAGACAGAAAGCTAAGCCAGCAACCGTGACATGTGTCCTGGAACGAGGAAATCGCAACCCAAGCTGAGCAGGTACTGACGATCTAACGTAAATCCTCAGCGCAGACTCCTTGGAGTACCTTAGCGAGGGATTTTTTCTTCACGCCGCTGACCAACACAGAGCGAAACAGAAGCTTGGAGCGAAAATACCGGGATAAACAGCCCAATTTGTTACGTGACCCTGCTTTTTTTGCCTTTTTTTAAGTGCCACGCGCACACTCGTTTTGAAACGGCTCACGCGACGCCTTCCGCTCCTTTTGAAAAAAAATTTAATAAAAAAAAAAAAAGACATTTTCTACTACCGCAGCGGTCCCGAAAGAGAAGATGCAAAGAGAAGAGCTACTCTTCCTCAACACTCTAAGCTCCTGCGTCACTCCCTTCGTGGCTCCAGCTTGGCTAAGAGGAAAACATCTGCTTTTTTTTGCGCTTGTACTAACCTGAAGCCTCCCATCCAGCGTTCTCTGTATCGTAACGCACTTGCTAGGATGAGCTCCGTTTGTGGTTATAGCTGTAATCAAAGAATCCAACTCATCTTTTTTCTCCTTTAGCTTTTTAACTAAGCTTTCGATGGCCCGTTTGGCGAAAGTTTCGCTCTCTCCGCCTTGGCGATGGCACATCAAGCTGTGAACAATGCTCAGACAAGCATCATTACTTGTTGGCGTGTTAGTAATAGACATATTGTCCATTTGTCACAGCTTTTTTGGGGTTTTTTTTTTTCTTTCAACTGTCACTTTTGGGGGCTGTTATGATTTTCAAGCTGATGAACAAGAGATGATCCAAGTTTAAGTGTTAGATGGTAAAACCTAGGAGGAAAAAATAGCTACATTAGAATTGTGTTTTTTCTTTTTAACAAATCGCAGATCATGTTTCTAAGGAACTCTGTGGCTTTTCGCTTCTTTTATTTCCAAGCTAAGTGCAGGATATTAAAAGCACAGGAAAATAAAAAACTGCATCGCTTGTCCCACGAGAGCTAAAACATGCTTAAAGACATTGTTTGTACGGTTTTAGATATTAGAATTTTTTTTTTTCCCTAGTAACAGTATAATTTAAATCACAGATTATGGTTTAGATACATGTACATATAGAAAGGGAGGGATTATTAGAGGAACAGGCTCTGAATCGGGAAAGGGGAGAACGGTGACGATGATTTCCTACTGGTAGGATGAAACTAAGCGACCGGGGAAATCGAGGGGCATCGGTTTCGACAAAAAAGAAGCACCGGAATCATCCGTCATCTTTATTTCCCAACCCTGTTCAAACAGCTCAGCTCCATTCTGAGCTCAGACTCTTTTCTCTAAAGGTAAAACTCGTACCTGGCCGTTAACGAATTTACGTTAATTAGCCTCGTGCGTATCTTGAGACGCGAAAATCCCAACGGGCGCGTTTCTCGTTCGGATCCAGCTGCTCCCAGATCGAGACAAATCAAACAAAGTCACTAATAAAATAAATCCCTCCTAAATTGTCTCAAGGGATGTAAGTCCCCCCTGACGTATCTGAATTCCATTTGGGAAGAACCTACAGCGCTGACTTTCCAAATAAGTGATTTTTTTTACTACCTTGACATTTTCTAAGCCTTTCGGACGCTACCACGTTGTCCTCAGCAACGTCAAGAAGATTCGATTTTTCATAGCGAAGGAAAGACGTTCGGACGTGTTCTCTCCCACTGCCGCGTCGGGATTTCCCGAGTTATTACTTATCGGAAACAAATCATCGTGTAAAATAAGAGGGGGAATAATATTTAAAGCTGACGCGTGAACTTCCCGTCGCGTTTCACAATCCAGCAACGCTGTAAAAGGAAATAAAGTCTCCCCCTGTTTATATTTGCTCCAATTTTGACTGGAATACAACAGACTTTGGAAAAAAAACCCCAAAAAACACATTGAAAATCCTCCTCCTCATGTCCCTTTGCTTTCAGTAGTAATTTTCTTTTGTAAGGATACTGCTGGACCTGATTTCTCCCAAAGGAAAAACAATTACCTAAAAGTTTGAGCGCAATCATTTTACCCAGCTATTAAAGTTTCTCCTTCAATGTCATTTTCTTGGGGTGTTTTGGGGTTTTTTTCGCGCTTCAACTCAATAAGTCGCTTTAAAAAAGCCGAGCTTCGCCGTGGCAACTCGGACTCGCAAAAACCCGCGTAAAACCCAGCTAAAAAAGAATAGACCATCATTTTCCTTAAATATAAACCAGCATCCCGGAGAGATACGCATAAGAAATCTGAAATAAATGACTTGCTGAAGCCAGAGAGAGCTTTCGATAAAAAAGAGATGCCTAAAATAAGACGCGCGGCTCTATCTTCTACGCCCCGAAGGAGAATTTCGCCCGCCGCCTTTCCGAAAGGCGGAGAATCCGCCAGAGAAACCCTTCTCGAAGCGCGACGATCTTCAGAAATGCCAAGTGTATTTTGCAGACGAGGCGAAATTTTCACGTTCCCCAAATTTAGTCGCTCGAGAAATAGCTCCGCGAGCCTGAGTCACACATTCAAGAGGTGCTTTAACACCTTCTTACTATATTACTTTCATGTGTGCAAATAAAAGCCAAACGCGAGCTTAACGCGCTCTATTTTTCAAAGAGAGCCTTGGAAGACGAGGTTCCAGCGTGGCCCTCGGACGCGGAGCTCGAGATGTTCTGCAGGACGACGGGACGTGGACGTGATTTAACGCTTACGCGGAACTTCAAACTCACTCTCTCGCCCGAGTAGGTGATCCCACGCTACAGCTCGAGCTGAAGTAGAAGAGGTAGGGCCAAATATATCGAGTGAAGATCTTTCCCCCACCATGGATTTCAAGGAAAGAATTGAGGGGAAAGGAGAAGAGAGGAGAGAAAAGGAACCAAAAAAGGACCAAAAAGGTATTTCTCTCCCTTTTGCTACTGTGATGTGAGCAGAACATGAAAGGAAGGGGGAAAAAAAATAGGAGGAGCTAAGCTAAAATGTTAACGAGTTATAGAAGAGCAATAGAAAGTAATTTATTTCACTAACTAAGTATTAACAGGTATGTTAGGAAACAAGCGGCCAACTCTCTAAGCACCGCACCAAGAGTAAGATCCTCTGCAGAGGAGATAAATCTGAAAGACAAAAAGAAGTTAAGATTGTCACGTCATTAAAAACACCTTTGATGATCTGCCCAGCGCCTCGGAGAACCGAGAAGTAACCCAAACTCTCCCTGCACGCGGCGTTCGCACAAATACCGGCGTTCTTCCGGCTGTCCTGCCGAAGGGCGACGTCTCTTTGTAGCCTGCGCGGTGAAATTCCAAACACGGAGCAGCTGTCGAAAATTAAAAATGCTCCGCCGGCGCCCGTGGATAATTCCCCCCGGAAACGGTTACCTGAGCAATATAAATAGATGCGAAAAAACGCAGGCATCTGGAACAGGACGCTACCTCGTGTCATGAAAAATCAAATATTTTATTGACTTATCTATGTGGAAGAAACATTTACCGAGCTTTCATCGCATTCCCGTTTATCCTGCCTCATTCCAGTGTTCTCGGATCAACTGTCAAACCAGTGATCATTTCACCGGTGGGACTAGAAAAACGGCGACGGGGTTTAACGTTCGGCATCTTCCGCAAGAAGCAGCTCAGAGCTTCGGAGGAGCGTTCCCGCTCGTTGCGGCAATTGCTGATCAACTCCCGATCAAAATGCGTTTTCCCAATTATCTAGGAAAAAAACGGAGCAAAGCTCGAAAAGCAGACGAGATCTCCCCGCAAAGGGATCATCAACGCACTGACGGAAGAGAAAATTAAGTCGTTTGTCGTCATCTCTCGAGCTGCACCAGCAAGATAATATTAGAAGCTATCATGGCTTAAGAACAAGTGGTTTTACACGCCAAAAAGCAAAGGTAACAGAACCAAACTTGTAAATATTTGCAATTTTTCGAGGTGTTCGAGAGAGACGATCATTTGGGAGGCCCAAGGTGTGTTTCAGTTTGAAATCCTTCGTCAAAAAAGCAGGCAGAAGGCAGACACGCACGTATAGTCCTTAGAAAGACAGTTTTTTGCTGCTTTTCGTGGTTAGGAAAAACACGTGGACATGATTTTCCTCCCTCTTCGAGAGGTATGAACTTGTACAAAAGGTTAACTAAGACGGAAAGGCAGGAAAAAACACGAAGAGTTCACCTAAATCCATATATAAATAGCCCAGGAGAGGCTGAATTTGAAGAATCCCTTCCTCCAAACAATTCTCGTTTCCATCGTGCTGCCAAGTTCCAAACCCGCGTTTCTCGAGAAGAACTCGCGTCGTATTAAGAACAAATTTAGACTTTTTACACTTGGAAGTCGCTTACCTTCCTCCCCTCTCCTCCCACGAACGCCACGCTTTGTTTTAGAAGTAAATTAGGAAGTGCTGTACTTAAAGGAAAAAATAAAATAAATGTAAAAGTAAAGCGCAACCTCAAAAAAATAGTTCTTGCAGGTGTCAAGCCTTCTGAAAAGCTTTTGATGGAGAAGACCAGCTCGGAAAAGAGGTTCCAAATGCAGCCAGAGGTGCTGGTGGCGATGGTTGGCCAACAGCGGAGGCAGAGGAACGTGCCGACGGAAGAACGCGAGATGGATTTGCAACCGCACCCGCAAGAAGACGCTCGAAACGAAGAGCTGGAAATCCAACCAGTTAAAAAAAAAAAAAAAATCAAAGAGAAAAAAAAGATTCTGCACGTGCTAAGGATGAGATGACACATTCGGGGCTCAGGGAAGTCTTTAAAGAGCGAGGCGGAGGTAGATTTGCCGTCTTTTTGGAGAAAAACCGATCAGCTAACACTCCTGTGTCACCTTTTCAACCGCTTAGTAAGAGAGGAGCATTGAAGATCCCTTCTGATTGAACTATTCTATTTTAAATAAAATAGATTTTAGCAGCAGTTTTAAAAAAAACCTACATAAATACATAAAAATTTTTAGTCCTGGTGTTACAACCATGTACGGGGACGCTAAAGATAAGGTGAGGCAAGAAGAGGTATAACACAGCACTTCTATCCATGCCAGGAAGCTCATTAATAATTGTAATTATCTATAATTGGTCATTATCCGTCGCAACGCACTGCAGAAGGGTCTAAGCAAGTCAGCAGATTTGCAGGCAGAACATCCTTTGCGCTGAGCCACGACTTAAGTGAATGTTACTACCGTGGTGTTCGATAAAAAAAAAAAAAAAAAAGAAAAAGCTCTTAACAGCCCAGCTTCCAAGTAAAAAAAAAATAAAATAAAAAAACTGTGCGTACTTGAGGCAGAAAAACCACAGGCAGATCAAGGCCTATAGTACCCTACGATGCCAAATTCTGGAGACTCGAGGGAAATTAATTAATATTAAAAAACCATCCTAAGAGTTTGAAGTCGCAACTCCAAAGGGGAGAAATAGACCTTAAAAATAAGAATTCTTTGCCTGAAGCTGCCACTGATGCTCCGGGAGCACGAGTTACCAGTAACACCCCAGTCACAGATTTCCAGCGTTTTGATATCAGGCAGTAACGCGTCGTTAATGAGCCGGCTAATTAGAATAGCGTCCAAACTGACATCTTGCTAGAACGTTTCACGCGAATAAAGGACGAGAAAGGTTCTTGCGTAAGCTGCCGCCTCCAAAATTAGACAAACAGAAAGATGGCAGAAAAGCAGCGTCGATCGCTTTTAACCACCGAAACGTTACTACAGAGATTTTGCCGTTTAACAATGCAGGGCTCGAAGTTTTAGGATAAACACGATTTA